GTACTTTCTACCCCCTTGTTTTGTTTCGTTACATTGAGCTTTGTTGTGTTGGGATTTTGTTTTATTTATTTATTTAGTTATTTCTTTATTCCTTTGTTTACATTATGGTACAAAAACATTGAACTGTCCTGTCCACCCCAACCTCTTTTTTGTTTTGTTTTGTTTTGTGAGCTACTATTGGATTTTCAAAAACTTTCTCAAATACTTTTTTCATACTATATTGACACATCTAAATCTTAATCGAAATACTTTAATAATTGAGGACATGTGTACCGAGATTGTAAACAAGTTGCAGCGTGAAGTAGAGGGAGCAGAAAATGTGGGCAAAGTGCATTTCAAGACCGCTGTCGTGCTTGGAATCTCTGTTGCTGTCAGTGAAAAAGATGGACATAGAGGGACTGTGCCAGTGTATCATCTCTCAGATTGCTCCTCTCCTGTGTAGCGACATGGCTGTATATTGAGTTGTCAGATGTGACACTCCAGACACCCCATGCTGGCTCGGAGTAGGAACTGGAGATCACTGGGAAGTCAAGTCACAATGGGCTCTGGAGTGTTCGGTTGCTACACACACACACACACATACACATACACAGTCAGTCACTCAGCTCACTGCGCCACAGGGGGGTGAGATTTCAGCAGACACAAACACCAGCTCTGGTTGAAAGCATGGACCGAATTACAAGGAACTAAGGTAAAGCAGAGAAAATACAGAAGAAAATAAGAAATCTGTCAGAATTTAAGTTTATTATAAAAGTAAAAACAATAACAAAAATAATAATGTTAAATTTAAAGTACAATATCTATACATTTTGCTTGCTCTAGGATTCACTCCTAGAAATCGTTATATAAATTCACAAATTAGTTATTTATTGTGCTTTATGCTATTTTATGAAGGCCTCCCCTAAAGAGATCTCAAGTGCTACTAATTCAAACCCAGATGACACCCCAAACTATTTATAAAAGTGCACTAACCGAATTAATGGTTCATCGAATGTAGAGTAAAACATTTAAGTGCAAATAAACGTGCAAGTGTGACCCGCTAATGCTCTCAATGAGCCCGATGCCGTCTGATCCATTTTATCCCATGTATTAAGGAGATGGTGAACTTGCCTTTTACAGGGACGACAATTAATTGCTTTTGAGTGATCTACCAGTTACATTTAGTGTTAAGTAGTTCTAAAATTGAAAAAGGCTATTCTGCTGGAGATGAGTCATTATCTGCCTCAGTAGAACGGTGGAGACGTGGTGCGTGAAGAAACGAGTAAAAGAAGGGTTTAGATGGGAACTAATCCACTTTGCTAATAAGATGACTAATGAGATACTAAAATACTGGAATTTCTGATAGTTTTACATAATGTCTTATAAGAAGATATTTTGTTTACCTACTCTGTGCTTGTTTTTATAGTTGTGCTAATAAACCTACATTATGGTTGTGAAAGGCAAACATTAAAAACATTGGCTGTGAAAGATGGGATCTAAAACAGTAAATGGATAGTTCATCCAAAAATGAAAGTTCTGTCAATATTTACACTTATTTACACTTACTCATGTCGTTCCAAACATGTATGACTTACTTTCATCTGTGGAACACAAAAGAAGATATTTAGATATTTTGTAAAATGTTTCAGGTACATATATGGACAAATGTCCATATATTTATATGATTTATCAGAAAGCTATGGCATTTTTAAATAATAAAGTCTTATAATTTAAAAAAAAAGAAAAAGCATTAAAGCAAGGACATCAAAAATCATACTTGAAATTATCTGGAAGTTAACTTTAAAACATTTGGTTAACCATTCCTTGAACTCTCTATAAAGACCCAAGACTTCAGAGATCATCTGGTAGCTCCTTGCATCCGGGGTAAACAGGGTCTCAAGAGGGACAAGGCCAAAGCTGTCTTTTTTGCACATTGTCAGGAATCAGATCTACACACTTCCTTCTCTCTTTCTACACACACATATCAGGCCCGGTTATGTCTCTCGCAGAGACATAACCGGTGTCGAGGGAGCAGGAGACCCGTGAAAGGCCATTACCACAGTGTGGCCCAGACCATCAGCACACTAAGACCCAGGAGAGTGACCCTGCTCTCACACTGAGAAATAAATTGGGTGGACTCACTGACAAAAAGCCATCAGGGCCCAACTGCACACATTAGCACTTCACAGATGACGCCAAGCACACCCGTGCCACCAGTCGAACTTTGTTCCCATGGCACGTCGGGGACACCACAAAACATACAGTACCGCTCAAGAGACGCAGTAGTTTGGTATATGAAATGACCAGGAAGTTGGTCTATACTGCATTCAACTCTTCAGAACCTGCAGCTAAAGACAAGCAAAATGCATTTGGTTAGACTGAGAGTCTCCATTGACAATCAACATCCTTATAGACTGGTTAAATGAGTTGTTCAAATGAGCTGAATCAACCCAATTCTTGAACATTGTTACAACTTAATTCCATTTTGCTCAATCCGATTTTTGGACCTGAAATGGATTTTAAATGCAAAACAGATTTAAAAAAAAAAAATTATCTTTGAAAGTTTTTGAAAGTTAAAAAAAAGTGTTTGTTTAAAATGCAGTGACAGGAATCATGTTTAAATTTGGTCAGTACAATCAAGGTGTTCTGCAAATAATTTCATTTGAATGGAATTTCTGTCATCAATCAAACAGTCTTTATTTTTTTTGTTTTGGTCACATCTTATTTCCAGCACTGATGCCCCATTAAACATGCATGAACCCCTGACAATATACCTTGGCCACTCCTTTTTTTAATGTCAGTTCATACGGTTACCAGCATTAAATGGATGTGAGCAGGACAGAGGTCATTTCAAACAGACTTATCTAGATCAGCAGTTTAACTAATATGTCTAGAATAGATCAATTAATCTAAAATGAGCTTAACTTTGAACTAAAGCTTTATGGGGAACATCAAAATTCCCAATTGGACTATAAGGCACTTTCCCGCTCCGGTTCCAAATTGCACCGACGGGATGATCCATAAATTGACATAATGGAGAAATACAAATAGTCCGGCATATCCGCGCATATACCTCTGCGTAGCTTATACCAGGGCCTCCTCTGAGGGTCCAACATCAGTGAAAACCCAATTACAGCAGCTCCACATTGCAGCCGTATAACATGGAAGAGTAGAAAGAGTTAAAAGAGCCATTACAAATGCCATGGAGCACTTTTAGCGTCTCGCAAGGTTAATGATAACGGTACTTGGCAGCTGAAATGCTCAAGTAGCTTTTATTGTATCATAATAATGAATCAATGGCGTAAAGATAAAATAAAATAAATGAACTCCGAAGTCGATGAGTAAAATGTATGTGCCGCAGCACAAATAATAAAAAAAAAAAAGTGGGCCGCCAACGGGGCCCTCTTTAAGTAATATCTTATGATGTCATCTTCTTGAAAAATATTTGCCTGCAGGTCTTAAAGGCCTTAAACGCTTTTGCTACAGAACATTAAATGTCTCCCCACATTATATGATACATATTAGCTGCAGATGATTTTACACACAATGCTATCTTACTATATAGTGCTATATTTTCTTTCTTTTCAAGCCTATATACAGGAAAAGGCACTAAATAGCCTTGGTATTTGTCTTCTTTGTCAAATTTATTATGCAGCAGGGTGTAAAAACTGAGGTTTGCTATTTAGGTATCCTAAGTGCTTTCCTCTTGTTGATGTTTGTATCTCCTGCTCCTCATTTGGCCCGCCGAGTCTTATAGGAGAGACAGACTGGATGTGGGCAGACCAGGAGACTGTGCTGATGTTAGGACCGTTGTCTTACAGTACATCAATGTGTCTGCTGTAAAGCCTCAGGGCATAGCGGCTGATTACCCTCTGAGTGGACATGCCTCAAACGCTGCATCAAGTTGTCAAGAACTTTCTGCTCATCCACCATTTTTCTTCCCCTTTCCGACGCAATAATATTGTAACCGCGACAGAATGAAGAGTGGCTGCGTGAAGATGCCAGTGCAGGAAGAAAAAAAACTAAACAATGACAGACTGCTCTTGAGAGGAAAAAAAGTCAAGTAGCCAAGCAGACGGCTCTATTGCCTGGATACCAGCATACTGCTCATCAGCTATTATATTCATTACTCATATTCCATAAGTGTTTTTTTTCCCTATAGGAAAAGCAGGATATGAATAAATACAGACTACTTTGTCATTCCAATTTGTATCCAAATGTTACTTATGTGCCTAGCAGACACAAATAGTTATATGTATATATATATTTCTATTAATTTAAACTAAAAAATGAATGTGCAATGTTTTGACAAGAGTGTGATTGAGAGTTTCTGATTTGTAAAAACAGCTCATAATTCATAATAACCAAAATGGCACTAAAAGTACAGTACCTCTTCCCTCTCTCTATTTCTGTTTGATTTATATTGATGTTTTTGAATACCTCTTATGCTCACCAAGGTTGGAATTATTAGATCAAATATACAGTAAAAACAGTAATATTTAAGAAATTACTACAATTTAAAATGACTTATTTCTATTGTAATACATTTTTAAATTTAGTTTATTTCTGATGGCAAAAATTAACTTTCCGCAGTCATTACTCCAGTCTTCAATGTGACATTATCTTTCAGAAATGTTTTGAAAACAATTCTTATCAACGTTGAAAATGGTTATGCTGCTTAATATTTAAGTGAAAACTGTGTTATTTATTTTTTTCATGATTATTGGATGAACCGCATTTAATTGAAATCTTTGTAACATTATAAATGTCTTTACTGTACTTTTGATCAATTTAATACATCCTTACTAAATAAAAGTATTAATTCCCTTAAAAAATAGAATAAATATATATTTAACCTCGATTCTCATAATGTTTAACCCACAGTAGGCAGTCTACAGAGCACTAAAAATAATAAATAAATAAACAGATGAATGAATAAATAAATAAATCCACAATGAGTTAAGACTGAAAACATGTTCTCACACAGTAAAACACAGCCCGAGTCAAAACTGGAAGCATGTTTAATATTGCTCTACTATTATCCTGAAAGGCATAATTGGACTTACACATCTGAACTGATCGTAGTTACAGAATCATAGGTCTCTCTTTTTGCATTGAACAATATATACAATGTAAAATAAATACATTTACACAAATGGACATATTGTTTGGAGCACACTGTAATGATGCACATCACAAAAATATACAGTTAATAGTTTTACCGATAAAACTACAGACATGATTCTCACTACAGGTTGTTTCAGCAACTCCTGGGTTGAAATATATCATTATCATATTGATCACAGAAGCTTCTCAAATGCTCTTTTATTCTTTCCCCTTCCTCCTTCTGGATCTCGTCCTTTCCCACACCGGTTTCTGCATGAGACTGCCAGGAAGCCTAGATGCGTTTGGCAGACGCATCGATGCATGAATAAATACAACCAACACCTAACCTCTTCAACATTTAAAAATAGCAGTTGTTTGTATATCTGATCATCCTTAATCCTATTATCCTAGATTTTGCAAAATAGTCCAATAGATACAGCATTTGATCACTAATCGAATCACATTGTACAACAACTGTACGTCGTACCGTCATATTGCTTTAAATAAGAAAATATATCTAAAAAAAAGTCGTCGTGGGTACGGATAAATGACACTTTGATTTCTGTGCTGGATAGATGAGTGTTAAAAGACACAGTCAAATTGTCTTTAAATGGTTCGAGAGGTCTGGGTACCGATTTGTCCAAAATGACACAGTACATGTCATAAAAGTATTTTGCTTCTGTTTTGTTTTTTTCATTTTGTGCGCTAAAAGCAACTTGGAAAAATGCATATCTGAAAGACTGAGTGTAGTTTGGAACCGCTTGTTCTAGTTTTTCGTGAAATCTTACAACGCTGAACAGAATTATAAAGCTTGTCTAGTTTCACATCGCTTCATTTCCATCGTGATCACCTCAGAGTAAAGACAACACAAAAAAGAAACCAACCAAAGAAACCCCCAAACCCATGTTTTGACCATCTGATGAGTTGCCATGAGCAATAAGATCTAGAGTCACGTTACACTAACCTTTCCAAAGCACAATCTATTAAGAGTTTTGAATAGCTAATGATAGATACAGTGTATTTATAGAACAAGGCTGAGAAAAAGCAACTAAAAACCCTCGTTCCCAGTTTGCCTTAAAAAATGATCTGTTCTTTCGTCTTTTTTTTCGTCATTTTTATTAAGCACACAAAGTCAAAGTGATAGTTTTGAAAACCGATCTTACACCAAAACAAACAAAAATGTTTCTTCCCTTTGCAACCTTAAAGAGTCAAGATATATACCAATGGAGTTCAGCATGAAGGCCTTATGTACAGCATTTTGTTAAAAGAGAAGGAAAATCAGAAAAAGAGGGGAAAGAAAGAAAAAATGTACTATTTCAAAGCATTTGTCATCGTAACCTATGATATACAGTGTTAGTCTACAAGATAGGAGTTACACAGATGGTCTCTTGTACATATAATGCACCTCCTTTTAAATATTCACTTATATATCAGCATAGATTATATTGATCGTTGATCGGTTGATCTAGCGGTAACTAGGAAGAGTCTTTTTTCAAAAGGTTATTTGAGAACCCATCATCTTGCTCCTGAGGATTCATACATCCAGTATTGTCTCTAATTCTACCCTGCCTCTACAAAAATGAACCAAAACTAGAAAAGAAAAAACAGAGAGAAAATTAATGCATACTGAACAGTGAGACCTGCGATCACCATGGGTAGTACACTACATCTTTTGCGGAAAGGGAAAAAAAACAGATGTTTCAGAAAAACACAGCAGACATGAAACACCAAGAAGCTGAACTACATTTTTTTTTGTTCATTTTTCATTCTTTTTTTTTTTCTTTGATCTGTTCCAATAAAATGTCTTAGGTTAGATTTATAATCTGTTAATTTACAATATACAATGCTTAAGAATATTCAGAAAATACCCCATACTAATACTGACATATTTCTGATGAAGGCTGTGGATCGCTTGCTTTGATACTTGAGCCTCTCTGCTAAAAATGTCATTTGGAAGAAGATTACGTCACGTGTATGATATCTCTGGCGCTATTCCGCGTAAAAATCAGGACCGTCGTGAAAGTAAACCTGCGATGCTTCTCCATCTTTCCCTAAGTGCTATTTTGCTTAACAAAGTTCAAATACTGCTTTAGTATGAAAGAATGTCAATAGAATTTCGAGGCTGAAGTTAATATATATGCATATATAATTGGCTTGAGATAATGGTTATGGTCCTTCTGGCCATATCATGTATGTAATCTATCATTTTATGACAAGCACAGACAGAAAAGCGAAAGCTTCTGGAAATTCATTTTCCCAAGTAAGTGTGGCACTAAGAAAAAAAACAAACAAAACCAAAAACAAAATTGCATACATTTACACCTCCACTTTTTAAACATCTATTGCTTAGAGAAGATAGCAGGGGTTTGTCTTCATTACGCAACACGGTGGTCGGTAGAAAAACATAACGATCAATTATTAACATTATATGAAGAAACATCGTGTTTGATGACCGTACCATATATTTACATCCTTCAGTACAGTAAAAATACACTGGAATATAACATAATAAAATAAAGTCAATAAATAAATGAGTCTGTTCCTTGACCACTGCGATTCCTCTTTGCTCGGTATTGCATGAGAGACTAAAGCTTCGGCTATTCCCTGAAAAGATCGAAATGAAATCGGTAAAAGAGGCTAGACGTGTTTGGAAGACTTGAAAGAAAACGACAAGGGAGTGACACACGCATGATCAGTCCGCATGGCTACGTAATGGTGAGGAGCAGCTTCTTCAAAGACGTGAAAATCTCCGTTTGGCTATCGCGTTGTTAAACTGCTCCGAGGACCTCTAATGTAATACTGCACATAGTCACTACGTCACGATCTTATGGTAAAGAGGGTCGATCCCTAGATTCCTTCAGTGACATGGGAGCTGGACGGTACAGTTCGGGGAAAGTTTCGCTTGCTGGTGTCCACCGCGTGGACTTCCTTCCTTTGGCAGGGCTGGTCTTTTTCGGCTCCAGAATTTCTCTTTTGAAAATCAATCAAATGTCTCAATAGCACAAAAAAACTCAGCATCAGATTTTCGAGAAGAACAAGTCGACGGCTGGTTTCAAGTCCCACTGCTGAATAATGAAAGCAGTCATTTTTTACACTTCATATTTTTCTCAATAATCACATTTTAAATCATTCTTATATTTACGTATCATTGTCAGTAATTAGAAGTACCATTACGGTTATGTTTTAGTTATTATTTGTTAAAGTTTATAGACAAAGGTTTCACAAACAGTGGCAGAGAGTTAGTCAGTGTCTGCCCGGTGAAGGGGTGCAGTCAGTGACGTACCCCCTCCAGCTCTCTGTCGGTATAACGCGGTTACACCTTGGCCTCCAGCAGCTCCAGAAACAGTTTGTGCATGGGCACTTTGCCGTCCTGTTTGATGCTGTAGAAGTGCTGCACTGCCTTGGTGGACGTTTGCCGGAGCAGCGGTAGGGTCATGAGCAGCTTGCCGGCTCGGCGCGGGTCCTCTGCGTGCTGGCCCGCCTCGTAGTCCTGCAGGGCCTCGTGCAACACGTCCTGGAGCTTCTGCACGGCTTCCACGTCCTCTAAATGCATGGAATCTGGAAAAAAAATACAGAACAATGATGAGTGGCTTTAGAAATAAACACAAATTCAGTACAATACAACATATGCATGTTGGGCACTTTGCCGTCCTGTTTGATGCTGTAGAAGTGCTGCACTGCCTTGGTGGACGTTTGCCGGAGCAGCGGTAGGGTCATGAGCAGCTTGCCGGCTCGGCGCGGGTCCTCTGCGTGCTGGCCCGCCTCGTAGTCCTGCAGGGCCTCGTGCAACACGTCCTGGAGCTTCTGCACGGCTTCCACGTCCTCTAAATGCATGGAATCTGGAAAAAAAAACACAGAACAATGATGAGTTGCTTTAGAAATAACCACAAATTCAGTACAATACAACATATGCATGTCAATACTTTTTTCACTAAGACATGACCCAAGTGAAAATCAGTTTTGCAACTAGGACTGTCAAAATGGCTGAAAAACTAAATTCAAATTTTGTACTTAAATATTATCAAAATTTGAATTATATTCGAATTTACAATGCATAATTTCAGTTAGGGTGAAGAAAAGCTTTTGGCTTCTCTTCTGAGGCCACAAGAGAGCGCATCGAGCAAAATATTACTAATGCACGTTTATTCAAAGCACAAGACAACATGACTATCTGTGAAAAAAAGAGCATAATGTTTAAAATAATGTTTATAAACCAATTATAATTAATTAAGTTGCTTAGACAACTATAAACAATACAGCATCATGTATGTATGCATAGTTTAATACAAAGGGCGGAAAGCCAATCACA